GATGTGTATAGCTAATTTATAAGAGTAATTTTAGATTACTGGGACATTACGTTAATTATCCTGATAAATGAACTGCACCCTACTATTTGAACATTGACTGTTACCAACATCATGGCATATGGTGTAAGTTACCATTGTGGTTCTAAACAGTGGCATGTTTATTACCTTTTCCATATCATTGTAGATGAAGTCAAGGTATATGGGGAAAATGTCTGTTTTCGTTGTTGTCGTTGACTTTACTGTTCTTGTGGTTATAAAAACAGTTTTTCTCCAACTTCCTTCATACTTCGAATATTATATTAAGCAGTTTGCGATCTCAGCCTAGTTTGATTGTGGTTTGTGTTCTATGGATACTGGGTCGTTAGTTTTATCCATCCATCAATTTGTTTTTAAATTATTAAGCTAGTTCCTAAATGGACAAGATTGTAAGTTATGCTATATTTAAAATGCGCTGTAAACTGCCCTTAATTTCCCATGAGACAAAATGTTATCAATTTCTCTACCATATTGTGCAGTACTTGCAATGTACACACAAACAAGTTTTAATAATACTAACTCATTAAGCACATTGATATATAATGTCAAAAAGTCTTACTTCGTGACTCCTATGGTGATTACTGTTCTTTTTCCAGATCATTCATTGGCATTTTATGCGTGACATTCTGCCATCGTCAGACCATGTTCAGACAGCATTGGAGTGTTTATCCCAGACTCTCCAGTACACTCAGATCTTCAATGTCATTGGCTCCAAAGAAAATCTATCCTGGGCCTGCTCTGCTATTGGTTGTGTATATCAGATATTTACAGGAGGTATGTAAACAGGAGCTGATTGGTTGTCATCTGACATGTGACTACTTGGAAAAATCTGATTTGCTGCTTAATCATGTGACTGCAGCCTTTTCACATACATTTCTTCAAGTTTATTATTTCTTCCTCTGGCATAAGAATTGGTATTAATATATATTAAGATGGAAGAAAATGTGTGTAAAAAAAAGTTATTGGTAGGATCTTGACAAAAGAATCTAACTATAAATTCACAATCCAAACTTCCTCTCTGCTATGTATTGCACACTTGTTGCTTCTCATCATTGCTTGTCATTACCTACACCGTCTTTCACCCCTCTGATTTATCACATTTTCTCATTGCTGTTTTTCAACCATCAGTGGGAGTATTGGCAGGGGAAAGCATAGCCTTGTCCCCATGTCAAGAGACCCAAAGTGGGCAAAAGGATGCCAAGGATGGTATGTACTGAAACTAAATACTAGTTTTAACTGTAGCTAATGCTTGCACTAAGTATAGTCCTGCATGAAATTGCAAGTTTATTTTTTTTCCTTGGTGGAAAATAGCTTCTATGATTGATGGTGATGAACTTTAGTGGGCTCCCTATGTATGTGGAAAATTTTCAGGTGATGGTGATATTCTTGGTGATTTGTGTGGTACAGGTAGTTTTTATCCCAAATTCTTCTGATTATTATAGGTGAAAAAAATCTCTGATAAAAAACATATTGGGTATTATCATTATCGTCTCGTTTCCTATCGAGTACAGTGTAACCATTCTATTGTTAACTTGAAATTTTCTGGTTTTTAGTGCATTCTATCACCGACAATAACAAAACTGTCAATGATTTTATTTTACAGCTACAGATGTATTTTAAACTTTGTGCCATAATATTATTTCTTTGTGAAATAGAGAAGCAATAAAATGTTTAGATGGCCCGCATGTGATCATATTAATGCTTCTGATTTGTCTAGCAACTGTATTGCCATTCATCATTGTTTGTTACTTCTCTGCTTGCCATCAAGTCTATGCTTTTGAGCCTTGACAGCAACTAAGCCATCAAGTCAATGCTTTTGAGTCTTGACAGTAACTAAGCCATCAAGTCTATGCTTTTGAGTCTTAACAGTAACTAAGCCATCAAGTCTAT